ATTTCAGTGAGTTATTCCTAAAAATGACAGGCCTACAATAAAAAGATGACATATTTCAATTGAAAACAATATACCGCTTTGAGCACAGAAATACTGACATAATCAGACCGTTAGGGAGCTTAAAGGCATAAAGGGACATGACTAAAAAAAAATTTTTTTAAATTAATTGAAAACCAATTAATCCGCTCCGGAGGTCAGAAAAAAGTAAAAAAAAAAAAAAAAAAAGTATTTATCTGTTCAAAACTCTTCATAAAGTGAGCTTTAAAGGCATAAATACTGTACAGAGACATTATTAAAAAAAAAAAATTTGTAAATGCATTGAAAACCAATTAATCCATTCTGGAGGTCAGAAAAAAGTAAAAATAAAAGACTTATCTGTCCAAAACTCTTTATAAAGTGCATTTTAAAGGCATAAAGGGACATGATTAAAAAAAAAAATTAGTAAACGCATTGAAAGCAAATTAATCCGTTCTGAAGGTCAGGGCAGCCACTCGGCACAGGACCCGGAGGATAATGGAGACCAGTGGAGTAGCAGTGCCTACTATAGTGATTTCCAGCTTTCAGAGGAATCGCCCAGGTACTATATATTCAGAATTATCAAAAAATGTGAAAGAAACACAATAATAGCGCTCACAAATTACAACCAAAAATAAATAGAATAAATACATAAAAACCAGCCACCAAATAAAGTGAAATATGTGCAACACTAAATGAAATATACAACAGAAGTGATGAAAACATCGGATAACTGATCCTTAATAAAGTCCATATACAGTTGTGTTCCAAATAATAGCAGTCAGACATCACTAACCGGATCAATCACTGTTTTTGGTAGAAATGATATTTCTACATGGCAAATAATTTCCTAGCAGGTGTAGTAGAGTAATAGAAATCCAACAGACCCAACAGTCATGACATGCATGCTGCTGATTCTGTGTCATTGAATCACTCATTGAAAGGGGCGTGTTCATAATAATAGCCGTGTGGAGTTCTATTAGTGAGGTCATTCATTCTTTGATAAACAGGTGGCAATTATTGCCCTTATTTAAGGAAGGAAGGCAGCAAATGTTGTACATGCTGGTTACAGTGCATTTCTCTCTGAAATTCTGAGGAAAAATGGGTCGTTCCAGACATTGTTCAGAAGAACAGCGTACCTTGATTAAAAAGTTGACTGGAGAGGGGAAAACATATAAAGAAGTGCAGAAAATGATCGGCTGCTCAGCTAAAATGATCGCAAATGCTTTGAAATGGCAACCAAAACCTGAAAGACGTGGAAGAAAGTGAAAAACTACCATTGGAATGGATAGAAGAATAGCCAAAATGGGGCGGACTCAGCCAACAATCAGCTCCAGGAAGATGAAAGAAGGTGTGACGTTCCCTGTGAGGACTGTTACAATTAGAAGACGCCTATGTGAAGCCAAGCTATCTGCAAGAAGTCCCCGCAAAGTCCCACTGTTGGGAAAAAGACATGTGCTGAAGAGGTTACAATCTGCCAAAGAGCACATTGACTGGCCTAAAGAGAAATGGGGCAACATTTTGTGGACTGATGAAAGTAAGATTGTTCTTTTTGGGTCTAGTGGGCGGAGACAGTTTGTCAGACGACCCCCAAACACTGAATTCAAGCAACAGTACGCTGTGAAGACCGTGAAGCATGGTGGTGCAAGCATCATGATATGGGGATGTTTCTCATACTCCGGTGTTGGGCCTATTTATCGCATACCAGGGATCATGGATCAGTATGAATACATCAGAATACTTGAAGAGGTCATGCTGCCTTATGCTGAAGAGGAAATGCCCTTGAAATGGGTGTTCCAACAAGACAACGACCCCAAACACACCAGTAAACGGGCAACATCTTGGTTCCAGACCAACAAGATGGACGTTATGGAGTGGCCAGTCCAATCCCCGGATCTTCATCCAAAAGAAAACTTGTGGGGTGACATCAAAAATGCCGTTTCTGAGGCAAAACCAAGAAATAGAGAAGAACTGTGGAATGTGGTCCAATCATCCTGGGCTGGAATACCTGATCACAGGGGCCAGAAGTTGGGTGACTCCATGCAACACAGATGTACAGCAATTCTCAGAAACAGTGCGACTACAACCAAATATTCATGAAGTCATTCAAGGAAAGCAAAATCTTCAAACATTTCTCAGTTTATATAGTGAATGTAAAGAAGAATACAAAACACGGCGATTTTTTTGAACCGTCTAATATTCACTTTTCTTCAATTTTTTTAGAGGAACAACACAAATTTGATGTATTTTTCTTCATGTTTGATTTGGAATAGAATGTGTCGTGTTCCCAATGCATTTGTGTGGATGGAAATAAAAGCTATTAGAAGGATTTATTCACTTTTCAACACTCTGCTATTATTTTGAACACAACTGTACATAATATATGATCTTCAATCAATGACGTTTTGGAATCTTTCTTTAGATCTAACATGCACATATTTCACTTTATTTGGTGGCTGGTTTATGATTTATTTATTTAATTGATTCTATTTATTTTTGGTTGTAATTTGTGAGCGCTATTATCGTGTTTCTTTCACATTTTTTGATACTTGTTTCGTTATAGCTGTTTAATAGCAGCTCCAATTGAATCAACTATTTCCAGGATTATATTCATGAGGCGTGATGATATAGACTTTGGAATATATTGATTATATATCGATATATAATTTTCCTAGGTTTATATAAATAATTTTTTATATTAATAATTACATGGGTCCAACCTGAACCAGTGTAAAAATATCCACATCTGGAATTCTTCTTTACCTCTAGGACAACACAAGACCCTTTTGGAGTAACAGCCATTGAGGTAAAAGGGGTTCAATGCAATATTGAACAGGGTTTCTGACTATTTGGAATACAACAAAATCTGCCGTGCTTCACCTTTGTAGTTGCACATCAAAACTTTACAAGGAAGGGTTTGAAGAAAAAAAAAAAGAAAGGCAACTGGATTTTCAGAAATCGGACAACAAACACCATGAGCAGAGTCCTCTCCAGGATGACTTTTCGGCCCATTCATACTTGGAAATGTGATTGGTTTCACCTCCTTCTAAAACCCAAGTGCTACTACTAAATAACAAATCCAGAGTCACAATGCAGGCACAGATGGACAGGTAGGCACTCAATATTGTATTGTTTGGCATTATGTTTTCAGCTTCAGATTATACCTCTCAAGGCTTATGATGAGACAAAATTAACAAAGTAACATTTAGTAAGGCACCGGGTTTATTCTAAGAGAAATATGGAGAGAAAAATGGCACAACAAAGAGGCTGTCCAGAGTGAAATCAAAGGCATCTGAGTAGCACACAAACAACATCCAAGTATTTCCATTCTGTACATTATCGGGAAGCAATGGATCATCTTGTAGGGTTGTATTCTGGAATACACAGGGAAGGTCTGAACTGCACTGAGCCAGCATACAGATGGACTCTGGTCTCACCTGACTCAACTCACACACCCATAGCTGTCCTCTTACCTTCCATAGCGTACTTCATATCTTGTGAGAAGAGGTTCCACATGACCTCTGCGCTGACCTTCCCAACACTCAGCTCCTGGGGAAACCTTCAGGAAAAAGAGTAGATATCACTTAATCAATGCACAGAGGAAAGGATAGATTCCAAAACAAGGGTACGGTTCAGAAAGCTGCCCAACGCTGAAAGATACTATGAGGCCCTTCAACCAAATTAATAGAGTACTTGTAATCCTTGAACCAATAACGGGGCAATTATATGGACTTATATGGATATATTTTGAGAATAGACATGATGTAGTCACTAGGATCTACTGTACTTATTTTCCAATGGGGATATTACCTCTGTGGATAAAGCCAACAACCTCAAAGAGGGCCTTGCTTAAACTTCAACTGCATCCCACATGTTGTGGGGTATATTGATGAAAACGTGGAGATATTGTCAGATTTTTTCCCCACTGGAGATATTCACTCTGTCCCAGCACAGAAAGTGAGCAGTGTCATTTAATCTTAGAATGGTCGTTAATAGATGGGAAGAGAGGACATGTTCCAAAGGGTAAACATATATGCACCAGTCACCACTGTCCAAGGTAGGATATGCTCTAATTTTAGAGGGTTTTATCCCCTTCTTGGGTCTCAAGTGAGGGCAAATCTCCCCAATAGGCCACAAACATGGATGACAACTCTAAATCCTTTACACAAAAAGAAGTGCCACTTTATTAGTCACATCAAAGGCGCAAACGTTTCAATTCCAATGTATAGCTGCATACTGGAATGGCTAATGCTATGGTCTGCTCCATTTATTCCTTTAAAACCTATGGAAATGGAGCTAGAGAGAGTTTACTTCTTTGTTTTATTTGCTCCTAGTAACTGGAATTCAGTAAGACTTCAGACATGCAGATGACTGGCTAGGGGAAAGGAAACATGACATGACCAGGAACCAGCAACGGCCAGCAAGGGACAGTCCATTATATTAGCATTCTCTAATGGCATAAACAAGAATGGGTTCTTTACATCCGATCACAACACAGATATTGTTTTAACATATTTTAGGTGCTGTCAAACTTGTGATCCTTCTGTTGGAGAAAACCTGCTAGTGACAGGATCGCCAATTGGACAAGGGACAAGTGGGCAAGCAGATTAGATCATTAGAACGTAATGTATTCATGCAAGGTCACAAGCTCCAATCTGTCGTATCGACATGCAACATTGGTTTAACACGAAACACCTTAGACCAAAAATAGAGGCCTGAGATTATGATGGTCATAATATTGACATAATTAATTGGACTTTTAATTGATAGTTTTTTGACATTGCATTTTATGTTACGGTGCTCATTGACATCTCTCAGCTCCATTTACATGTGTTGTTTTTATATGTTTGAAGCCCATTCTCTCACTGACAACCATACAAGGGAACATCTCTCCCACTGACCCCCAATGTAAGGAGACATTCTTCCCACTGACCCCCAATGTAAGGGACATTCTTCCACCGACCCCCAATGTAAAGGAGCATTTCTTCCCACTGACCCCCAATGTAAGGAGCATTCTTCCCACTGACCCCCAATGTAAGGAACATTCTTCCCACTGACCACCAATGTAAGAACATTCTTCCCACTGACCCCCAATGTAAGGGGCATTCTTCCCACTGATCACCAATGTAAGGGACATTCTTCCACTGACCCCCCAATGTAAGGGAGCATTCTTCCCACTGACCCCCAATGTAAGGAGAGCATTCTTCCCACTGACCCCCAATGTAAGGAACATTCTTCCCTCTGACCACCAATGTAAGGGACATTCTTCCACTGACCACCAATGTAAGGAACATTCTTCCCACTGACCACCAATGTAAGGGACATTCTTCTCACTGACCACCAATTTTAAGGAACATTCTTCCCACTGAATCACCAATTTAAGGAACATTCTTACCCACTGACCCCAATGTAAGGAACATTCTTCCCCACTGATCACCAATGTAAGGGACATTCTTCCCACTGATCACCAATGTAAGAAGCATTCTTTCCCCCACTGACCCCCCAATGTAAGGAACATTCTTCCCACTGACCCCCCAATGTAAGGAACATTCTTCCCACTGACCCCCAATGTAAGGAGCATTCTTCCCACTGATCACCAATGTAAGGAGCATTCTTCCCACTGACCCCAATGTAAGGAACATTCTTCCCACTGACCCCACAATGTAAGGAACATTCTTCCCACTGACCCCCATATGTAAGGAAGCATTCTTCCCACTGACCCCCAATGTAAGTGGAACATTCTTTCCACTGACCACCATTGTAAGGAACATTCTTCCCACTGACAACCCAAGTAAGGAGCATTCTTTCCCACTGATCACCAATGTAAGGAGCATTCTTCCCACTGACCACCAATGTAAGGAACATTCTTCCCACTGACCCCCCAATGTAAGGAACATTCTTCCCACTGACACCCAATGTAAGGAGCATTCTTCCCACTGACCACACCAATGTAAGGGACATTCTTCCCACTGACCCCCAATGTAGGGGCATTCTTCACCACTGACCACCAATGTAAGGAACATTCTCCCCACTGACCACCAATGTAAGGAACATTCTTCCCACTGACCACCAATGTAAGGAGCATTCTTCCCACTGATCCCCAATGTAAGGAGCATTCTTCCCACTGACCCCCAATGTAAGGGGCATTCTTCCCACTGATCCCCAATGTAAGGAGCATTCTTCCCACTGACCACCAATGTAAGGAGCATTCTTCCCACTGATCCCCAATGTAAGGAAAGGGACATTCTTCCCAGTATCCATCACTCTAATGTACAGTAAGCTGTAGATCTAGTAATTATCAGCAGGGGTTCCCTGAGCCCAGGAAGTTATTACAATGGTTCCTTCATGTTACAAAGGTTGAGAAAGGCCAGACTAAAGGTTCAGTTTAATAAAACAGAATGCAGGGCTATGACCCAAAGATCACAAGTTTCTGTTTTCAACTGTCATGGCTAAAAATATCAATTATAGTGAAATTAGCCTTAAAGCAGAACTGCAGGTTAACTGGGACCAAAAAGTGTTGGCCAGGAGTGGAAAACATAAAAATCAGCTCTGCAATACTCACCCCCGCTCTGGAGCTGTCCTCAGAAGACTCTCTTCTCCTAGTTGTTGCTCATCCACTCCTCTTCAAGCTGTGTCATTCAAGCCATTTCCAGTAAGGCAGGGCCTAGATCAGGGGTGTCCAAACTTTTTTGGAAGAGTGCCAGATTTGATGAAGTGAACATGTGCGAGGGCCGACCATTTTGCCCGACATTCTGATGAACCATTAAAATTAAATGCAAATGAACTATTTTATGCAAAAGTTTATTGAAAACGGCATACTTTTCATTTTGTGACTTGGATGACAAATCTAAACAGGTGTTAAATCACTCTGCCAGCACAGGGAGAAGGAAAGCCCAAATCTCGCGAGATCTCGGAGGTCGCGAGATTTGGGCTTTGTTTCTCCTTGCACTGTCTGATGACGTCAAGCGATCCTGAGCACCAATCCATTATAGCCCAAATTGATACCGTATTTTTCGCTCCATAAGACGCACCTGACCATAAGACGCACCTAGGTTTTAGAGGCGAAAAACAGGAAAAAAAAAATTCTGAACCAATGGACTGCAGACATAGTACAGGAGATGACCAGAGACTGCGGACACAGTACAGGAGATGACCAGAGACTGCGGACACAGTACAGGAGATGACCAGAGACTGCGGACACAGTACAGGAGATGACCAGAGACTGCGGACACAGTACAGGAGATGACCAGAGACTGCAGACCCAGTACAGGAGATGACCAGAGACTGCGGGCACAGTACAGGGGATGACCAGAGACTGCGGGCACAGTACAGGGGATGACCAGAGACTGCGGACACAGTACAGGAGATGACCAGAGACTGCGGACACAGTACAGGGGATGACCAGAGACTGCGGACACAGTACAGGGGATGACCAGAGACTGCGGACACAGTACAGGGGATGACCAGAGACTGCGGACATAGTACAGGAGATGGCCAGAGACTGCGGACATAGTACAGGAGATGGCCAGAGACTGCGGACACAGTACAGGAGACGGTCAGAGACTGCGGACATAGTACAGGAGACGGCCAGAGACTGCGGACATAGTACAGGAGATGGCCAGAGACTGCGGACACAGTACAGGAGATGGCCAGAGACTGTGGACAGTAAAGGAGATGACCAGAGACTGCGGACACAGTACAGGAGATGACCAGAGACTGCGGACACAGTACAGGAGATGACCAGAGACTGCGGACACAGTACAGGAGATGACCAGTGACTGTGGACATACTACAGGAGATGACCAGAGACTGCGGACACAGTACAGGAGATGACCAGAGACTGCAGACACAGTACAGGAGATGACCAGAGACTGCGGACACAGTACAGGAGATGACCAAAGACTGCGGACACAGTACAGGGGATGACCAGAGACTGCGGACACAGTACAGGAGATGACCAGAGACTGCGGACACAGTACAGATGACCAGAGACTGCGATGACCATTCACAAAGCGAAGAGCATGCGCAGTGGGCACTTGGCTGTCACAGAAGCCAGCGCGGGAAGACTGTGCAGTGCTGGAGCGAGGAACAGGTAAGGCCCTGCAGGAGACAACAGCTGAGCGGCCGGCCCGGTATTCTGACATGGTGGCGGCAGAAATACCGGACCGGCCGCTTTATATTCGCTCCATAAGACGCACTGACATTTTCCCCCCTTTTTTTGGGGAAAAAAAAGTGCATCTTATGGAGCGAAAAATACGGTAAATGGTAGCCCCAGTAGTAATTCCCTGCGCACCACCTGGGATCCCTCGGCCCACGTTCCGGACCCCACAGATGAGCTGCCCAATATATAACTTACGGCCCTCCACTAGTGATTCTGCGAACGCCACTGAGGACTCCAGGGATCTGTTGAGCGGGAATTGACGTCATCAGCCGGCACACAGAGAAGGAAAGCCCAAATCTCACGAGATCTCGGACGTCGCGAGATTTGGGCTCTCCTTCCTGTGCCAGCTGATGATGATGTCAAGAGATCGCTGGAGTCCTCAGTAGCTTTCAGGGAATCACTACCGGGGGCCGTAAGTTATATATTTGGGTAGCTCACCTGTGGGGCCGTTTCAGTCCGGAACGCGGGCCGCAATTGGCCCGCGGGCCGGACTTTGGACATGCCTGGCCTAGATGGTGCGATTCCCTTTCTTGTAATCCCCAGTCAACACACTCAGTGTTGATAGGGGTGATAGGGGAATCCCTCCCAAGGAACTTTCGGGGGGCAGGGGGTTGCGGGAAGACTGCCTAGTCAGAACACAGTGATTACTGCTAACAGCTATAGCCGCTGGCCATATTCGCATGCCGAAAATCAGACATGCTGGTTGTTCCCAAGTCGATCAATGGACCCAAGTCCAATCAGCCTGCCCATAGATGGTTCAAATCTCGACTGGTCCCTGCTGATCAGGCCGAGATTCAAACCATTTATGGCCAGCTTTACTCCAGACTGTCAATGACATGCTTTGGGGATGCATCGTTGTGTTGGCCTTGAACCAGAGTACAATGCTCAGAAATCACCACGTTACCACAGTTCTATGCATTAGTGCGGTCCGCCCGAAGAAGAAGAGGAAGGACCCGTGTTTTCACTAAACCAGCTAGAAGGAACCCAGATGCCACACAAGTAGACTACACATTTTTAAATATACAGGTCGGGGGAGTTAGGGAACAGGGAGACAAAAGCTGGAGTTCTGCTTTAAGTTAGTGCACGGTAGAGAAGACCTATGTCTGGCTATAGATAAAAGCAGAATCTGATACTGGCAAGTAAACACATGCAAAAATAATAAAGAGGACCTGTTGCAATTCTCAAAAAAGGATCCACCAGCATCCCAGGCATGAATTTACAGTACAGCTGTGTCCCCTTGATGGGGATGCTTTACCAACCTTGATATAACCGACACTCAGGTGCAATTCATCCTCACACAGTGCAGGCAGTTTTACATGCCCTATCCCCTTTCCTCTCATAGGCTGGGAGCACGGAGCTTAGGATTCTGACAGCAAAGCAGCTTTACAGACTACGGAAAAAAAGCAACCATGCAGGGAAAGTGGCCACAAAACATCGGGGAATAATGGAGCTTATACATGGCGCCCAACTGCTTGGGTTGTGCAGGTTTATCCCCATTCAGGGCTGCAATTCTGCTTGGCTAAGCCTCCATTGTCTTATATTACTCTGCAGCTTGACCTCCGCTTCAGATTCCCTAGCATCACTGTCCCGAGCCAAGGTCCCATGCCGAGGACCCATGCTCATCCTAGTGCCAAAGGGGGAGTCTCAATAGTCTCAATACTCCAACTGACTTCTCTATAAAAGAACATACATCAAAAAAGTGTAACAGCAAGTACATACAGTGGGGCAAAAAAGTATTTAGTCACCACCAATTGTGCAAGTTCTCCCACTTACAAAGATGAGAGAGGCCTGTAATTGACATCATAGGTAGACCTCAACTATGAGAGACAAAATGAGAAAACAAATCCTGACAATCACATTGGCTGATCTGGAAAGAATTTATTTGCCAATTATGGTGGAAAATAAGTATTTGGTCACCTACAAACAAGCAAGATTTCTGGCTCTCACAGACCTGTACCTTCTTCTTTAAGAGGCTCCTCTGTCCTGCACTCATTACCTGTATCAATGGCACCTGTTTGAACTTGTTATCAGTATAAAAGACACCTGTCCACAACCTCAAACAGTCACACTCCAAACTCCACTATGGTGAAGACCAAAGAGCTGTCAAAGGACACCAGAAACAAAATTGTAGACCTGAACCAGGCTGGGAAGACTGAATCTGCAATAGGCAAGCAGCTTGGTGTGAACAAATCAACTGTGGGAGCAATAATTAGAAAATGGAAGACATACAAGACCACTGACAATCTCCCTCGATCTGGGGCTCCACGCAAGATCTCACCCCGTGGGGTCAAAATGATCACAAGAATGGTGAGCAAAAATCCCAGGACCACACGGGAGGATCTAGTGAATGACCTGCAGAGAGCTGGGACGTAACAAAGGCTACCATCAGTAACACACTACGCTGCCAGGGACTCAGATCCTGCAGTGCCAGACGTGTCCCCCTGCTTAAGCCAGTACATGTCCGGGCCCATCTGAAGTTTGCTAGAGAGCATTTGGATGATCCAGAAGAGGATTGGGAGAATGTCATATGGACAGATGAAACCAAAATAGAACTGTTTGGTAGAAACACAACTCGTTGTGTTTGGGAGAATGCTGAGTTGCATCCAAAGAACACCATACCTACTGTGAAGCATGAGGGTGGCAACATCATGCTTTGGGGCTGTTTCTCCGCAAAGGGACCAGGACGACTAATCCATGTACAGGACAGAATGAATGGGATCATGTATCGTGAGATTTTGAGTGCAAACCTCCTTCCATCAGCAAGGGCATTGAAGATGAAACGTGGCTGGGTCTTCCAACATGACAATGATCCCAAACATACCGCCCGGGCAACGAAGGAGTGGCTTCGTAAGAAGCATTTCAAGGTCCTGGAGTGGCCTAGCCAGTCTCCAGATCTCAACCCCGTAGAAAACCTTTGGAGGGAGTTGAAAGTCTGTGTTGCCCAGCGACAGCCCCAAAACATCACTGCTCTAGAGATCTGCATGGAGGATGGGCCAACATACCAGCAACAGTGTGTGCCAACCTTGTGAAGACTTACAGGAAACGTTTGACCTCTGTCATTGCCAACAAAGGATATACAGTCAGGTCCATAAATATTGGGACAACGACACAATTCTAACATTTTTGGCTCTATACTCCACCACAATGGATTTGAAATGAAACAAACAAGATGTTGCTTTAACTGCAGACTGTCAGCTTTAATTTGAGGGTATTTACATCCAAATCAGGTGAACAGTGTAGGAATTGCAACAGTTTGCATATGTGCCTCCCACTTGTTAAGGGACTAAAAGTAATGGGACAATTGGCTTCTCAGCTGTTCCATGGCCAGGTGTGTGTTATTCATTCATTATCCCAATTACAATGAGCAGATAAAAGGTCCAGAGTTAATTTCAAGTGTGCTATTTGCATTTGGAATCTGTTGCTGTCAACTCTCAAGATGAGATCCAAAGAGCTGTCACTATCAGTGAAGCCATCATTAGGCTGAAAAAACAAACCCATCAGAGAGATAGCAAAAACATTAGGCGTGGCCAAAACAACGGTTTGGAACATTCTTAAAAAGAAGGAACGCACCGGTGAGCTCAGCAACACCAAAAGACCCGGAAGACCACGGAAAACAACTGTGGTGGATGACCGAAGAATTCTTTCCCTGATGAAGAAAACACCCTTCACAACAGTTGGCCAGATCAAGAACACTCTCCAGGAGGTAGGTGTATGTGTGTCAAAGTCAACAATCAAGAGAAGACTTCACCAGAGTGAATACAGAGGGTTCACCACAAGATGTAAACCATTGGTGAACCTCAAAAACAGGAAGGCCAGATTAGAGTTTGCCAAACGACATGTAAAAAAGCCTTCACAGTTCTGGAACAACATCCTATGGACAGATGAGACCAAGATCAACTTGTACCAGAGTGATGGGAAGAGAAGAGGATGGAGAAGGAAAGGAACTGCTCATGATCCTAAGCATACCATCTCATCAGTGAAGCATGGTGGTGGTAGTGTCATGGCGTGGGCATGTATGGCTGCCAATGGAACTGCTTCTCTTGTATTTATTGATGATGTGACTGCTGACAAAAGCAGCCGGATGAATTGTGAAGTGTTTCGGGAATATTATCTGCTCATATTCAGCCAAATGCTTCACAACTCATTGGACGCTTCACAGTGCAGATGGACAATGACCCAAAGCAGACTGCAAAAGCAACCAAAGAGTTTTTGAAGGGAAAGAAGTGGAATGTTCTGCAATGGCCAAGTCAATCACCTGACCTGAATCCGATTGAGCATTTCACTTGCTGAAGACAAAACTGAAGGGAAAATGCCCCAAGAACAAGCAGGAACTGAAGACAGTTGCAGTAGAGGCCTGGCAGAGCATCACCAGAGATGAAACCCAGCGTCTGGTGATGTCTATGCGTTCCACAGTTCAGGCTGTAATTGACTGCAAAGGATTTGCAACCAAGTATTAAAAAGTGAAAGCTTGATTTATGATTATTCTGTCCCATTACTTTTGGTCCCTTAACAAGTGGGAGGCACATATGCAAACTGTTGTAATTCCTACACCGTTCACCTGATTTGGATGTAAATACCCTCAAATTAAAGCTGATGGTCTGCAGTTAAAGTACATCTTGTTTGTTTCATTTCAAATCCATTGTGGTGGTGTATAGAGCCAAAAATGTTAGAATTTGTCCATGTCCCAATATTTATGGACCTGACTGTATAACAAAGTAT